CCCTACATATTGTGTGAGCAGTGAGGAGACTGACTGCCTAATGCTGAACTGCTGAAGAGAATTTGCACCTTTCCTCCACATTCTGCACTTAGCCACAGTCATACGTCATGCAGGGAGCTGCTTCAGCTCTGTCCAGCTGTGGCACATGAAAACATCTGGTGAGCTGTCCTCGGCCATATGCCACACTGGGACAGAATCGCCAGAGGGATTCTGTCCACTTGTAAACATGCCCAGCTTTTAGGAGAGCCAGCTTCCAAACATCAGGTTAGCCTTGCAAACCCCTGCAGGGTTTTGGGTATGTATATATATCATAACTTATCAAGTTGTATCATTGAAATGTATGCAGTTTATTGTATGTCAATTATATCTCAATAGCTTATTAAAAAGAATCAATGAAACGTTAAAGTAGCTAGAATCCAATCCTTTTTAAGAATGCAGAAATGAAATGTATCACTCATCATCTATTTAAAGTTCTATTTCTTAAAGTTTATTTACTTCTTCTATGTGTGAGAAGGACAGAGAGACAGTCACTCCCAACAGGGTCTTCATACAGTGATCGGCCCCTAGCCAGTCCCAGAACATGGGCACATGTACTCCCAGTGTGTTCAGGGAGGTCTCTGAATGCAAACATACACAGAACCTTCCCATGTGGGTCAGACCCATGGAGTATTATATTACCACTGTGCCACTGTCTGGCCCCATATTTTTTAATTATGAAGGACTATATTACTCCAGGTATCCCATTCTCTTGTTGTTTCAGACAAATTTTTGACAACTATGTTTGTTTCTAGAGCATGGTCCACTACAATATCAGCTAATTGTACTTTCTGAAATTTCCTGTCATGGTTTCTGGAGAATTCCTGAGAGTAAAGATCCAATACCAATGATAAGTTGGCTTCTAAGAGCTTATAAAACTAATAACAACTACTTTTAGTTTATGATTAATGTTACCTGATGTCTTTTAAATAAATCATGTAATTTATTCCTGAATCCTAAAAGTTATTTTATAAAGAGGTTGAAACAGATGCTCAGAAAGGTTAACTGATTTATCCAAGGTCACATATACCTAGTAAGTGGCTAAGTCTTCCTAACTCCAATGTCATAGCCCTGTTTACCAAATCTAAAGCTTCTCTTCTTTTTCTTAGGTCTTCAGGAAAAATTGGGTACAAACCTTTTCTGAGTAGAGTGGCTAGTAGGTTCAGCCATGGGGGCAGATCCCCGAAAGTATTTGTCAGAGGCATGGATCCAGTGTGTGGCCCAGAGACTGGCAGGTCCCGGAGAAACCTTCCTTCTCTCAGTGGCCTCTGCCAAGACTAGTGCTTTGTTCACTGTAGATCCCTGGGCACTTTCCAGCTTAGTGTGGTATTGGCCTGAACCTGGTACCCAAAGAAGGCTTTTCATTTTTATGCCACCTGGTGGACTCCAAACTTGGTTAACTTTTTTTTCTTTTTTTTTTTTTTTTTTTTTTTTTTTTTTTTTGGGGGGTTTTTTTTAGTGGGAGGTTTTTGCTATAGGGCGCAGGCACTTGCCAGAAAGACAGAGAGATAAAAAGAAACAGAAAGCGAGAAATCACC